CTTCTTTGGTCTTGACTCCCTGGTGCCCAGCATAGCGAGTCCCAGCTTGTGGTGGCACCTTGGTAAATACATTGTCGAATAAACAGGCAGGTCCAGGACTAGGGTTAAAGAAGGCCTGTGAACGTGACACAATTGTGTGCAAAATCTATGCGGTGTGCCGTGTGTCCACGTGTATCCATCAGATTTGCCAACGCCTGCAGACCTCAGGAAATGGTCCTTGGGAGGATTGCCTTGTGGCTGTACCCCTGTGCGCTCAGCACCCGGCAGAGGTGTGTTTTGGAATGACGACCGGCTCGCGATGTCCTAATCCCTGTGCAGAAAGGACTCTGTGTCCACCAGCATGCATTCCAGGCTCTAGAACAGTGGTTCTCAACCTGTGGGTCGCAAACCCTTTGGGGATTGAATGACCCTTTCACAGGGGTCGCCCGAATCATAACAGTAGCAAAATGACAGTGATGAAGTAGCAACGAAAATCATTTTATGGTGGGGGGTCACCACCACAGGAGGAACTGTATGAAGGGTCGAGGCATTAGGAAGGTTGAGAACCGCTGCTCTAGAATGTAATGGCCGCCTTTAACCAGGAACGGTCTCAGTCCTGGGCCCATGAGTTTGTTCACAGGAATGCTGCTTTCCTCCCAAACGCAAGTGCTCCTGGGCGCTTTCCCAGGTCATGGGAATTGGTGGCCTCACTCGGTTTGCCATTACGTGAGCCTGAGATCACAACAGCGGGCCGCACTGTGGGAGTGAGTGAGCCAGCCTGCCGTACTCCCTGCCTCAGCGCCCAACGGTGATGCAGCCGTTTGAAGAAAAGATGACCGGTGCCCGGGCCAGGAAGGACAGCTGGGCCACACACACTATTGGGGGGACAACAGCTGATGATCCAGACCCATTTGTAGATGCGTGTGAAGGCGCACACTCACTGGTGGATCCTCCTGGGACCAGGCCTAGACCGCGGCCAGTAGCTCTGAGCAAGATCAAAGTAGACACCGCCCGGGGGCCTCCCTAATATGCCCTGCTCGTGTAGCGATCTTCCTGCGGCTGGAGGCCTGCTCCACGGGGAGAACAGCTTTCCGAAGGGCATGTAGCCAGGGAGGCACCGGGCTCTCCAGCCACCCTCATGCAGTGGAGCCACTGCTGAGAAGTTTGCTGTCATTTGCTGCACAGCCCCTCCGTGTCACAAATGGCTCAGGACGCACCTACTAGCCAAAATGTTGGCCGTTCAAGCCCACCCATAGGTGCCTCAGAAGACAGGCCTGGCAATCTGCTTCTGAGAGGCCGCCGCCTTGGCCACCCTCTGGAGGGGTTCTACTCTGCACACGGGAGGTCACCGTGTGTCGGAACAACTCCACCGTAACTGGTACAAACGACCAGGACTGTTCTACTTGCAGAAGTCTCCTGGGTCAGTCATAAGGCAAAGCCCCGATAACCCGTAGCAAGCTTCTCACACGTCACTGCTGTTGTGAGCTGCGATCAAGTCCTCCGTCCCTACCCCAACTGTCGGTGACTCCAGACACGACAGAATGAGATGCTGCCCACCCTGTGCCATCCCCAAGAACAGCTGCAGATCAGACTTTGTGATCCATGTGATTTTCTCTGGCGGTTTTTTTGGGAGAGGATTGCCAGACCTTTCTTCCTAGTCTGTCTTAGCTGGAAGTTCCTCTGAAACCTGTCCAGCAGCACAGGAACATGAAAGCCTCCACCAACAGACAACGTGTGATTTCATGTGAGGTGCATTGACTGGGAATCTAACTCAGGAAGGCAGTACTACTGAGCCGCTTATACTACTGTCCCCTTCTCCAACATCCTCTTACTCACTGTCAGTGTCTATTCGTACTCATAGAAGCCCTCGTAGGGCAGGGTAGAACTGCCACTGTGGGCCACCCAAGACTGTTTACAGGAATAGAAAGCCTCATCTTTCTCCTTCGGAGCATTTGGTGGTTTCGAACTGCTGATCTCATGGTTAGTAGCCCAACTCATAGCCCACTACATCACCCAGGGTTCCTTTCAATGTTAGTGTGCTTATAAATCATTGGGAGAGCTTGTTAAACTACACACTCAGTGGCTTCAACTCTTGATAACCTATTTGGCAGGAGCCTGAGAATTTGCATTTCTCACAACCTCCCAGGTGATGCTGATGCTGTTGGCTCAGAGACACCATTTGAGACCAGCTGGCCACAGCAGGGATTTTCACACTGTGCTCTCTGAAGTGCCCTACTTCTCCCAGATTGGGAGAAGTAGGGGTGAGAAAAGCAAATATATGGAACTAACCTGTGCTGACATCAGGGCAATGAATCTATGTACCAATCTGGCTTCTGTGATTACACCAAAGCCCAGATGAGAAGAAGTGGGGAGACTATTAGCTTGAAAGAGCTGTACAGGCCTCTGTGTGGGGTGCTCCCAGAGCCTCCACCCTCATTCACCCTCAGTGTGCCTGGGGAGCCTCTGCCCACAGCCCAGAAGAGCATTCAAAATAAACGAAAGAGCAAAGAACAAGAGAAGCAAGCAATGCAATGGACGAGCAGCACCTCCCATGCCGGTAACATCTCAGGTCAATGTGCCTGGGGTGGCCAAGGATCCAGTACCTGTAGCCAAGGATCTGGTTCTATGCCAGGCAGCCTAAAGGTGGAGAATGTTCCCTGTCTACCCCTACTCTTGAGTTTCTTATTCATGGGGATGGGGCAGTGGGCTTTGGCCAGGAGAGCTTTCTCCATCTGCCTGGTCCCCATGCCCACCAGGAACCACAGCCCAGCCATCTCATTCTATAAAAATCAACCTCAGTACATTCTCATGGAATCCAGAGTCTCTGGATCCCCCAAACCATTGCCCTGAGATAATATTTAAACCTTAAATCAAAAATGTATCCCCTGAAGTCTTCTTAAAAGCAGACAGTCGTTTTGGTTAGCAATCGTGAAGAACATCTGCAGGGAGCATGGCGCTCCATGGAAGAACTCCCTGTGTGGCAATCGGCTTGACAGCAAACACTCAGGTCAGCGAGGCTGTGAGTTTGTGCTACTAGGGGAGGAACACCGCAAGAAGGAACAACTTGCAGAATGTCGTGAAGGCCTCTGAGCTTTGTCTGTTGTGCAGATTTGGTACCTTGGGAGTGGGGTACTGGAGAAACAAATCATAAGATACAGAGTAGATGTTTGTTTGACCTCTCCCTCCTGGAAGTTTTCCTTCTTTGTCTAGCCAGAGGTCAGATAAAGTCACATTATTTATTTGGTTGCTTTTCTGGGGAAAATATGGGAAGTAGGAAAATAGAAAGTTTGTAAGTCCACTTGCTTCAGTCATTAAAATTTGATCTTTAAATGGGTTTAGGCCATATCTGTAAAACTTTGAAAATATATGTCCCACCCAGTGCTTTGGAATACTAAGGAACCAGTAGTCTTTGTCAGTAGCTGGAAAAAATCTGGAACCATGAAGAAAACTCCTCTCTGGGTCTGAATGTTAAAGGGAGCCTGTGAGCAGGCTGAAATGCTTGGTAGGTGACCACCTTGATCTACTTGTTGAGTGGAAGTTGGAGAAATGCAGCAATAAAGAGACAGGTTGAGTTTGGCCACTGACACCTGTGGACTTGGTTTACAGGGGAAAAAGGAGAAGACGAGAGCGGGTTGACTGGTCTAAGGTTCATGACCTAGCCTGAGGGGCTAGGCTTGAGTTGGTGAGAGCCCATGGCCTAAGGAAAGGCGACCAATGGGCACCCTGTGGAAGCTGAGTGAGGCAGCCCACATTGAGTTGATGACCAGAACCCGACCAGCTGGAGACTTTTGAGCCTGTGAACTGGTGCATATTGTTGCTGACTTTATGGATGGCCTGTCCGGATTTGACTTTGCTTATGGATGCAGACTTCACAAGGTTCCAACTGGAATGAAGACTTCGTGTCAAAAAACATGACTGTCTTCTCAGAGAACTGGGTTGATATAAGTGGGCAGTATATAAACTGGATACCCAAATTTGGGGGAGATAAAGGCATGAAGTAGTTGGCTTACAAACTTTCACAGGTAGGGGAAAAAAATTCACAGGATTATAGGGTTAAGGTATAGGTGTTAATTCCAATTGTGAAGTTAAGAATTATATACAGGTGCCAGGTTGGCAAGGGGTGGATTGAGTTAGTTAATTGTGCCAGCCTGGCCCATAATCACATGTGGGGCTACTTGAAAGGCGGAGGGATAAATGGGTGGTGAAGCCTTGCCTTTCTAGTTCTCGGGTCTCTTGTTTTGTGATGGTCGCACTGCTTCAGCTTGCAAGATTGACTTCCTACAAGACATCCCCAAGGAGAAGCCACATGGACCTATCCCGATGCAGCCCTGAGTGCTGGGGCAGTCGTGTGGAGACCCCTGCAAATCTGTTGTGCAGATTTCCAACAGTGACACCCTCAAACCAAACACATTCCAACTCACAGTGACCGGATAGGACAAAGGAGAATTGTCTCATAAGACTCTTTACAGAAGCCGACCCGCTATATCTTGTCGCTCAGCTGGTCTGTTTGAACCACCGGCTGTTTGGGTGGCAGCTGAACTCCTAACCTCTGCGCGATCAGGAATCCCCCATCAGCAGCTTAACAGAAGCCAATACGTGATTCAAAAAAGAAAATCAAGCTCTGGATGACCAATAAGAGTGGGCTGGAACCCGGTCTCTGTATTCAGACTCGCTGGGTTCAACTTGGCTTCAGCACTGCCTCCCTGAGAGAACTTGGGTGAGCCTTGAGGTCTCAGTTTGCTTGCCTGTAAAACGGGCACGACTGTCGCATGCATCCATGTGAGCATTCATTGGGCGTCCTGGCTGGCCTGGGAGGAGTTCTCAGGAAACGGGGGCCATTGTTAGTAAGTCTTCTCTTTGGACATCGCTTTCCTGCTTGTGGTGGTGCAGGCGCGGACCATCCAGCTGGAGAGAGGCCACAGGGCCCGAAGCCACGAGACCTGGGGGGTGGTCAGTGTGAATCTGTAGGAGCCCCCGCCCCCAACTTGGATTACATTGTCCCCGATGGTTACTTTTTCCAGGGTGTTCAGACCTACATCTCTTGGATATATTGGCCCCCACGGAAAGAAAGCGACAAGGATACATCCACGAACTCATCGTCACGGAGGAGAACTACGTCAACGACCTGCAGCTGGTCACAGAGGTAAAGGCAGCTGTGGGGGACACTGGGGTGCACTGACGGGCGGTGGGGGTCATTTGCAATGGAGTCCCATGTCTTATTCCGAGTCGGAGAAACTCCCTGGTGCGGGGAAGCATCCGGATGCTAAATTACATGGAAGAATTTTACACAGGAGAAGATGGGGTCAGCTCTCCTCCTGGGTCAACTCGGAAGGAGCCCCCCAGAGAGGCCAGGGTCATTCGGGTCAATGGGTGAGAGCCTCCGAGGGGTGTCATGAGAAACGTGTGGGATGGGGCACTGGGAACCCAGGTTCTAGTCGGAAAAGTGCTACACAGCCTGAAAATGGCAGTCATCCCACTGAAGTCTCACGTTCCCAGGACCACACTCCTAGGGAAACATCTAGAACGATGCTGAGAATCATGGCCTATTGCATCCCAGGGGCCCCATGACTCCTAACCTGGGGGATGCCTTATCCAGCCGGTCCTCTCAGGTAGCTGTTGAGGGGTCTCAGCCACCCTCCACAGGACAGGCAGAGGCAGGGCTGGGCATCCCTGCTCTCCAAGAACTCCACTGGCCTCCTTGTAAAACCATTTGCAGACCTCTTAGGGTCCCACCGAGGAAGAGGAGGGGCCAGCTTTGTCAGAGTTCTTGCAGGAACAGGGAGGGAGCTGGCAGCTTGTAAGATCCCCCCAGCAATGTCGGGATGCCGTGGTCTCTCCCATTGCTCCGAACCGATCGAGGTGTGCACGCGCGTTTGAGTTTAAGCTAACTGTTTGCTTTCTGAACTGCTTCGTTTTCTGCGTCTGTAGATCTTTCAGAAACCCCTGATGGAATCTGAGCTGCTGACAGAAAAAGAGGTTGCTATGATTTTTGTTAACTGGAAGGAGCTGATTATGTGTAATATCAAACTACTGAAGTAAGCCTCTCTCCTCTAATTACCAGCCAAGCTTTGCCTCCGCTTACACATTAGCATCCTTGTGTGGTCCTTGTGCCGCCCCTCCCTACGCCTGCGCATGCTCCCTGTGTGTCTTTCCGCATCTTTCGCTGCTGTCTGTTCAGTAGTGCCATCGCCCTTTACCGCCCGGATGCTCTTCTGAAACAGGCCCCAAATGCTGGCTGTGCAGGTGCCTGCTCCCGGTGTGGTTCTGGGGTGCCCACAGCTGGGCCTGGCCTGGCTCTGTGCACACCACTTTCTCCAGAGTGGGCGTTGGCCCCAGGAAATGGAAAACAGCGGTGGGACCTTAACGCCCAGAGTCAGCTGCAGTTATTACAGGATAGCTCCCCGGGGATCAGGCTCGGGGCACTTTTATTTCCGTGTTGGTTCATGTTGACAGCTGCAGGGTCAGGCACTGGGTCAGGCACGGAGAACTGGGTTTGGTTCTCAAGCCTGCCGTTCACTCCTGGGCCTCCTGAGCCTCACTTTCCCCATCTGAAAAATGAGGGCCTTGGGTTATCACAGTGGACCCTTCAAATTCACACGAGGGGGTACCCCCAAAAAGCTGGGAAAAAGATCCACTGGTGAGCATAGAGAAATTCACTGAGTTAGTGCATCCAGTGGCATCTCCAGGGAAGGTTCTCTCTGGTCACAGTGAATTTTTTTGGTAAAAGCAGTTTTGCTCAAACCTGTTTTTTTATGATGGCCTATTTAAAGAACAGCATGTGGCTGTGAAATTTTGTTTCCTGCTTGGGAAAAACATGGCAGAAACTGTTGTGAAGTTGAACACAGCTTACAAGGACAGGGCTATGGGGAAAACTGAAGTGTAGGCGTAGTTTTCTCATTTCAAAAAAGGTGACATGTCAACCAATGACAAACCTCATTCTGGACGTTCATCAACTTCTCCAAGGGATGAAAATGGCGACAAAATTCGTGTGCTTGTGCTCGAAGACTGACGTCGGACCATTGAAGAGATGGGGACGTTACTCAGTTCACCAAATATTAACAAAAGATTTGCAAATCAGAAGAGCCGCTGCAAAATTTGTGCCTGGGGTTCTGGCTGATCAAGAAAATGAACATTGAGTGGAAACATGCCGTACTTTGAAAGAACAACTCTGAAGTGTCCTAGAGTTTTTTGTCCAAGATCATTACTGGTGACAAGACATGGTGCCATTCTTATGACCCCAAAAGCAAACATCAATCAAGCCAGTGGAAGACAGTCCTCACCTCTTCACTCCCAAAATGTGTTAAGTGTAATGGAGAGTACTTTGAAAGTGATACTGTTGTTTTGTAAAAAAAATTAAATTCATAGTTTAGGGGGGATTCCGATTTGGGGGGGCACCCCCTTGTAAATACAAACACACACATATGCACATATATATAGGTATGTACTCTTATGTACAAGATGTCCCCAAGTTACTAAGGCCTGGCTTATGTACATGTAATTCAAGGCACATAAAATGGTTTGTAATAACAAATGGGTGTTACTTTCAAAATCCATCAAAATATTACTATTATTATTATTCCTACTAATGTTTTATTATCTTAAAGATGTTTTAGTGTATCTGAAAGTGTTTCCTTAATGTTGTTTATGCATAGTAAGGAACCCCCTCCAAAGAAAAATAATCACATTCACAGACAGACACCTGCTACCAGTGCGTCACTTCTGACTCGCAGTGAGCCTGTGTAGGGTTTCTGTAGAGGCTGTAAGCCTTCAGGGAGCAGACAGGGTCTCCTGGTGGCTGGCAGACCTTGTGGTTAGCAGAGAGACTCTTAACCATCAGCGCTATCAGGGGTCCAGTAGAAAGGTATGCTAACCATATGCTAAGCAAACATCTGTCCAATTGACATTAGATACAAACTCTTCCTAACTGTTTCAAGAGAAAGACTTGGGGATTACACTGTGTGTGTGTGTGTGTGTGTGTGTGTGTGTGTGTGTGTGTGTGTGTGTTGAGAGCACCCTGGTGGTGCAGTGGTTCAGGACTCAGATGCTAACCAAAAGGTTGGCAGTTTGAACCACTAAGCTGCTCTACAAGGGAAAGATGAGGCTGTCTACCTCTGCATAGTTCAGCCTGGGAAACCCTGTTTTGTCAGGGTTGCTGCGAGGCAAGAAGTTTGGTTTTTTTGGTGTGTACATAGAAGGGGCTTCAGAAAGTTCATGTAAAAATTCCATTATTTTAAAATTCCATTTTCCGTGAACTTTTAAAGCCCCTGATATATATGTCCAAACACTGTATTTGTGTGTGTGTGTGTATAGAGTGTATATATTCTCATGTACACATTTGAGAATATCCACTAGACCTTCATTATAGTATCACTTGCTAGCACACTCTCTACAGGACATAGATACAGGACTCTCTACAAGACATAGATGCACGTTGTACTGTAGAATACAAAAAGAGCCCTGCTGGTGTAATGGGTTATAAACTGGGCTGCTGACTGCAAGGTCCACAGTTTGAAGCCACCATGCCCCCCAAGGGGAAGATGAGACTTTCTACAGCTGTAAATGTTTACAGCTTTGGCGACCCACAGGCGCAGTTCTCCCCTGTCCCGTAGGGCCACTACAAATCTTTTATTATTATTATTAAATACTTTTATTGGGGGCTCTCATACCTCCCATCACAATCCACACATTCATCCATGTGTCAAGCACATCGTTTTCAAAGCATTTTCTTTCTACTTGAGTCCTTGATATCAGATCCTCATTTCCCCCTCCCTCCCCCGCCCACCCTCTCTCATGAACCCTTGATGAGTTGTAGGTTGTTTTTTTCAAATCTTACATTGTCCTCTGTCGCCTTTCACCTACTTGTCTGTTGTTCACCCCCCTGGGAGGGGGTTATATGTTGATCCTTGTGATCAATTCCCCCTCTCTGCTCCCACCTTCCCCTTATCCTCCTGGTATCTTTATTGGCATTGTTGGCCCTGGACTACCAATCTTTAAGAGGAGCCCAGCTGAGGGTCTACACCAGTGGTTCTCAACCTGTGGGTCACGACCCCTTTGAGGGTCAAACGGCCCTTTCACAGGGGTCGCCTGATTCATAACGGTAGCAAAATGACAGTTATGAAGTAGCAATGACAATAATGATATGGTTGGGGGTGGGGTCACCACCACATGAGGAACTGTCTGAGAGGGTTGCAGCATGAGGAAGGTTGAGAACCCCTGCCCTAGAGAGAGCAGTTCTGTGACCATCTTCCAGGAGGGTGCTATGAAAAGTGTCGAGGCATCCGGCTCTCGAACGCCCCTCTTAAAGTGGTCTACTGGCTGTGTGACTTTTCTCCCCTGGGCCTGTGTGCCCTGCTCTGCCCATTGGGCATGAGAATAGTGCCTATCACGTAGGCTCGGCTTCGTCTTACACACTTTGGACAGTTGTCAGGAGAGACCAGTCCCGGGAGAAGGACTTCACGTTCGGTAACGCCGAGGGGCAGCACGGAGGAAGAAGGCCAGCAGGAGATGGATTGCCACAGTGGCTGCAACAGTGAGTGGGCGCACACCTAGGGTCCGTTGTGAGGATGGCTCAGGACCGGCCGTCGTCTCTTTCTGTTGCCTTGGGTCGAAACTGACTTGGTGGCATCTAACAATTACAACAACACACAGGCTTGTTACGGGACCAAGCTTTAAATGAGTGTCTGGTACAAAGTCCGTGCTTGGCGTGGACCCAGTCACCTGGGTAGTGGGAGCTAAACCCCCCACCCCCACCCCCTGGCCTGGGAGGAGCTGCCCTGCTCCCTAGGGAAAGAACAGTAAGTTGCCCTAATCTTACAGAACTTAAAATATTAGAAGTACTAATTTGTTGAAAACACATCTACAGTCAAAATCCCCCGGGGGACTGTCTTTGGTGGGTGGGAATTGTGTTTGGGGCTCTGAAGTGCCTCACGCCTACTTGTAGGACTGGGCCTCCCACCCCTTTTAGGACTAGCCTGAGGGCCCCTATAAAGGAGGGCCCACCTCAGCTCCTCTTACAGCTCATTCTCTCATAGTCAATCTTCCTTCCTCCTCCTGAGCAGGGACGAGAAACCCCTTTATGAGCCCTGTCGGCACCACATGATTCAGCTCGGAGAGGCCGAGTGACTTGCCTGAAGTTGCACAGTGGCGGAGGCAGTGCCCTGGGCCACTCTGTGGTTAATGCCTAGCGCCCTGGTTCTACCAAGCCGTGCTCCTGATGGAAAGAGCAGGGCACTCGGAGTCAGGCATCCCAAGCGTTAGTCCAGGTTCTAGTACTTTCTAACGTGTGGCCTTGGGCAGATAACCTTCAGACCCTTGGATTTAAAACCGCAAATCCAACTCACTGCCCTACTGTTGATTCCGACTCAGAGTGACCCTGTAGGACCGCCAGGGTTCAAGACCTGCCCCTGCCATTCCTTAGCTGCATGACTTTGCTAAGGTCCCTCAATTTCTACGGGCCTTCGTTTCCTCAACAGCCAGTGGGGCCAGCAAATGGCTCAGATGTGTAAAGCATGTTTAAAGCAGTAATGAGTTCTATGGTAACTGTCCCCTGGGTCTGCAGACCTCATAGTGCTGTGACCGCTCACTCATTCAGCCAACACTGAGTGCTCTTTGAACGTTCATTCTCGGATTATTGGCTTTTTAGAACTTTCTAGGAGGTCTAAGGGCAGGGGATTCTCAGGACCATGGTTATAATAAGCGAGTCACGTGAACCCTGGGCGTGCTGGCAGTTCTGTTCAAACCCTGATCTCATGCCCCGTGCTCCAGAGTCTTGCCTGGCCTGCAGTTCAGTAGAACATTCCAGAAAGAGGCACATGCCACAGCCGATTGCCAGCAGTCAACGCTGTCTCACGGCGATCCTGTGTATGTGTCAGAGCAGAACTGTGCCCCGCGGGGGTTTCAACGATGGCGTTTTCGGAACTAGATCACCAGGCTTTTCTTTTCCGGTACTTTCGGTGGACTCCAGCCTCCAGCCTTTTGGTCAGCAGCTACCTGCACCACCCGGGGGCTCGGATCCCGTTGTAGAGTCCAGGCCTGCCTCCTGGTTCAGCAATGGAGATGGCAGGTGCAGGCCTTAGGAACTGGTTTATGTTCTCAAGACAAGAGGGCCTGCTCGAGACCTTGAGTATTGGGGATAGTCACACACACGCGCACACACAGCCCTCCAATGTGAGTGTGGCCAGTGCACTGCCACTTCCCGATTTCATCGTTCCCTGCAGACCAAACCCCCTCTTCCTGACGGGCACCTCTCCTCTCAAGGACAGCCGCTTGAGGTGGCATCCCTGCCTGCTCCACACTCTTTACTGCCCCTCACCATGTCCAGCCGCAGTGGCTTGCCCACTCCGAGGGAGTTTCCTTCCTCCAAAAATGTGGGGGGGCAAGAACTCTGAAAAATGAAAGGCCTAATGCTAACATCACAGACTAGACTGCCCTCCCCAAGCCCCTGGGTGGAGAGAGCAGTTAACTTGCTTGACTACTAAGCCAAAGGTCAGCAGTATGAGTCCACCCAGCGGCTCTGCATAAAAAGAGACCTGACAATCTACTTTAAAACAACAACAACAACAACAACAAAAATCAGCCATGAGAACCCCATGGAGCCCCTTTCTCCTCTGACACATGTGGGGTCAAGGCTTGACTCAGAGGGAACGGCTACTCCCAGGATGTCTTCCACACGACGCCACCCAACCAAAGGGAGGCACGGTGGCATGCTCCAGTCTCAGAACACACACACGGACAGTGAGTCGGTGCAAACGCATATGGACCCCATGGGACAGGCGAGAACTGGCCCGTGAGTCTCCAGGACTGCAACTCTTGATGCGAGTAGAAAGCCCATCTTTCTCCTGCGGGGCGGTTGCTGGTTTTGAACTGCGGACCTTTCTATGAGCAGCCCAATCCGTAAGCACGGCACTTCCAGCGCTCCCCTTCCCAGCCTTCTGTTGAAGTTATGTCCTGTTCCATCTGCCCTAGAGACGTTTCTGAAGTGCGTTTTGTGGTCACGAGGCTAGGAAGGACGCACTCCAGTCCTCCGGTGCTGGGGTTCCACCCTCACAGTACGTTGTCATTTCAAGCTTTTCCTTGGAAGTTCGGCAAAGGTTTACAGAGCAGGCCATAACTGTACATTAAGCATTTCATACACATTCTAATTCAATTTACACTGCGGTCCTTGCTGTAGTGCAAGGAGCTGCCCTCCTTCCAGGTGGTGGTGTTAAAAATGGACATATCAGAGCTTGGAATGTGGGGTGCAAAGTCCTTGTTGTCATGACCCACATATTTGAACTGCAGATAAACCCCAGATAAATATGTCCCAGACTCACCATTGACTTTTCTCGACTTCCAGAATACAGACAACTTGTTTCACTAGCTCGTCATCATAACTGACAGTAGCTCAAGAATACAAGCAAACTCGCTGCCATCAAGTCGATTCTAGCTCAGTCATGGTGACTGCGCGACAGGACAGAACTGCCTCTGTGGACTTCCAAGGCTGTAAATCTTTACGAGAACCAAAAGCCTCATTTCGCTCCCACCGAGTGGCTGGTGGGTTCAAACTGCTGGCCTTGTAGTCAGTAGCCCTTTCCTTGCATAATTCACTACGCTACCAGGGCTCCTGTATGTATAATAGACTTCTCTTTTTAGAACTCCCAAGAGTCCTCTTAATTCAGTTTACTTCAGATGGATAGTAAAGGACATAGCTCAACTAATCATTTATCCTTGGCTTTAGTTTATCCTTAGACACTATTGTGTACACACAGTGTCTTAAGTTGGGCTCTTAAAACCAGTAAAATGTACATGTGAGTTAGTCTGGGTTGACTAGAGAAACAAATCCAGGGACAATCACATGTGTAAGAGAGAAATTTATATCAAAAAGCAATTGTACATTAAGAACACAGCCCAGTCCAGATCAAGCCCATAAGTCCGATATTACCCATATGTCGATACTAGTCCATAAATTCCTCTTTAGACTCATGCAGCCATGCATTGACGCCAAATACAGGAATAGCACAGGCCAGGGGGTAGAAAGCTTTGTGGATCCAGTGGTGGTGAAAGCATTTAGCGCTGGTGTGAGTCTCCATGTGGCTCCTCCAGCTCCAGGACTTTGGCTTTATCAGTGTAGCTCCATGTGGCATGTCAACCGGAATGTCTCACAGGGAGTGAGTGTATCTGGCCTCCAGTGAGCTATTTATCTCCTTCCTGCCTCCATATGAGGTCATTAAGCTGCAACCTGATTGACAGGCTAGATTCCACCCCTTCGCTAGTTGACAGGAGATGACGTAACTGCCACAACATGTAAATATATTGAGATGCCTTTCAAGGAAATGGCATGCATAGTGAAGCAGGCTAGCAAGTCTCAAAACCATGGGTCAGGCATCAACTTTTCCTGACTCAAGTAGTTGTGGAGACTCACAAACTCCAAATTGGAAGGACAGATGGTGTGCTGCAGGCTCGTGGGGCTGTGGGAGCTGGCAAATCCCCCCAAATCTGCAGGTCAGAGAGCAGGCTTCTGGCTCATGACTCGAGAATGGAAGGTGAGAGGAGAAGAGTCAGCCAGATGCAAGATGCCAGAGGCTTTCCATCCATGCACACTGCAGGCAGGCCACACCCCCAAGGGAATGCCCCTTTTAACAGACTGGCTGCTCACAGCCGGGCCCAGAAGGGAGGGTGGTTGCATACTATATGCCAAGTCACTGAGAATCATGACCTAGCTGCATGGACACGTAACGGAACCATCACCGATACGAGGGCTTCCCTCGTGTCTGGAAATGACCCTGCTTGATCCCTGGAAACAGCTACATTCTGTGGGTGGCAGTTGTCCCAGAAAGCTTGAGATTTCCACCACAGAATCTGTAAAGGGAATCACTGACACAGGAAATCGGAGTTATTCGAGAAAGCATTCCATAGTTCTCCATAAGGTAAAATAAACTGGTTGTGTGTGTGTGTGTGTGTGTGTGTGTGTGTGTGGACTTGATTGGCAAGGTTTGTTTAGAAGTAACGTCTATTCCAAGAGCCAGCACACAGCCCACCTGTCTAAGAAAATTGCCCCAGCTACCTTTCTCTAGCCGGAGACTTGTTTCCTTTCCCCTCCCTTGTCTTCCACATAGACCCTGGCGGGCCCTCGGGTTTGCCCTCCCTCTCATTCCATTTCTGGGCAACCTAGAAAGTGTGCCCTGCTGTGTGGAGGCAGAGAGGGCAGAGGGCCGACTTCTGTTTCCCCGGTGCAGAGCGCTGAGGGTTCGCAAGAAGATGTCTGGGGAGAAAATGCCCGTGAAGATGATCGGGGACATCCTGACCGCCCAGCTGCCCCACATGCAGCCATATATCCGCTTCTGCAGCTGTCAGCTCAACGGGGCAGCCCTGATCCAGCAGAAGACGGACGAGGCCCCGGACTTCAAGGAATTTGTCAAAGTAAGGAGGTGGAGCTGTACCTGGGCATCTGGGGAGGGAGGTCCAAGGAGGGCTGGATCCTGCTAACATATTCATGCTGAAGGCCAACCAGGATTGAGATCTGGGCTAAGCCACAGGGGGCGGATGCAAAGGGGGTAGGTTTGGAGAGGGCCCCTTAGCCCAGCTGCACCTGGAAGCTTTGACGTTTCTTCCTGGAACTGTTTCCCACGAGTTACGTGTTTTGTTTGGAGTTCTGGGTGGTGTCGATGGTTAATGTGCTCGGGGGACTGCAGGGTCTAGTGCACCAGAGGAGCTTCAGAAGAAAGGTCGGGCGATGGACAGCCAGAAGCCCAGCAATTAAAAACTATGCAGAATAGTGCCATCCTGGTGCACTTGGGGTGCCACGAGTCCAGTCTACTTGACAGCAACGAGCTAATAGTTTATTGCATACGTGTTTCATCTTCCAACTCAGTGACCAGGCGAGGGGGTCCCGGGGTTCTATTTAACCTGGCTACTTTGCTGGTCTCTGCCCTTTAACTGCAGAGGGAAAGGTTAGGGCCCTTGTAAACCCCTTGTTCCTTCCCCATTTGGTTCTGTGTTATGGGTTCCAGTCCTAGAGGGGGAGAAGAATTGGGTTGAAGAGATGGGTTTAAGTGCTTGGGGGTGGGGGGGAATAGATAGAGAGATAAATAGAATAAATGACCTTCACTAAGTAGGTACATTTTAAAATGTATAAATAGCAAAATAATACTTTATCTGGTTGTATTCCTTTGGAAGCAAAGGCACCTTCTAATCCTATGAGTTGTAGCCCAAGCTGGCACGGTGGATGGCCTCATCCTGCGGTCGAGCTGACAGTGGGTAAATGTGGTGGGAAGAAAGATGCAGGAAGCAGGTTACAGCATTAGGGGCCTGAACTCCGAGCCTCCACTCCACTCTCCTTGCCCCACCTGAGGCTCCTTCTAAACCAGGGGTGAGGAGCCTTTTTTCTGCCAAGGCCCATTCGGAGATTTATAGCATCGTTCATGGGCCATATAAAACCATCCACTTAAAACTTAGCCCGTGTGCTCGCTTCGACAGCACACATACTAAAATTGGAACAATACAGAGAAGATTAGCATGGCCCCTGCGCAAGGATGACACGCAAATTCGTAAAACTTAGCCTGCTACCTGTGGCCCAGCATCTAATTAACTCACCCCTCATGGGGTGGCTGCAACTGCTGCCCTTTGGTGAGGCGGTGCTGTTTTCTGGTATTGGGGATCTCTCGGGTCTTTTGTGGCCCAAACGCTTCCCACCCCTGTTCTACGCCATCGCTTCCCACATTTCCCACCTCATTTTCAGAACAAACCTTACTCAGTGCCTCCCTCCCTCACTCTCTGCCATTGAATCAATTCCGATTCATAGTGATCCTATAGGACATAGTAGAAAGGGCCCGTAGGTTTCTGAGACTGCAAATCTTT